TATCCTTCCTATAGCATCTAGAACCGGAACATTGTGCTGCCAGTGTTGTCCATCTCTCACCCAAGTTTCTGTAATGGCTGTAATGTCCCAATCACATGCTCTTGAACATGCCCCAAGTTCATCAGCCTTACCTCTAAGACTCCTTGCATTGAAATAAATGTAATTTAGTTCTTCAGAGTTATTACATACTCTGACTCTCTTGTCTTTTCATTTCTAATTGACATGCTCTCCTCACATTCAGAACCTATCCCATCAATCCTTCCATTTACACTGCTACTTAGAATTCCTCCACTTGCCTTCTGTATCAGTATAAATTCTCCCTTCATAGAATGAGCAAATCTCCCTGTTAAGATATTGGCCCCTTTCCAGTTTAGGTTAGACCCACCCTTTTTAAACAGATCTTTTCTATCCCAGAAGATATTCCAATTGTCCAAAAACCTGAATCCCTGAACAATACACCAGCTATTCAGCCATTGATTTATCACCTTTAACCTTTTGTTCCTTCCCTTGTTTGAGTTTGGCATTGGGAGTAAACCAGAAATTATTACTTTTAAAGTTTTATTTTTTAATCTTCTACCTGACCTTTCAAATTCACTCTGTACTGCTTTAATCTTGTCCCTAAAAATGTCATTCCTACCAATGTGTGCAGTAATTTCTGGCTTCTCAACCTCACCTTTAACAATATGCTTGAAACGTCTAGAAACATCCTTAATCCTAGCACCAGGAAAGCAACAAACCATCCTAAATTTACTCTCACTACCACAGAATCGCCTGTCTATGCCCCTGACAGGATAGTCTCCGAAAACACTAATTCTATTAAGTTTTTTCAAATGCTGCCTAACATAAGAATCAATCCAAGCATCCAATAACTAACTGGCCCTTCCATTTTCTTCAGAGAGATTATCCCCTTCAACTGTTCCAAAAAAATGAATATCATTAGTTATATCACATTTTGGGATGCTCTAAAGTCATGTCATAAAATTCTTCTAACTCAAAATTGAAAAATCGTAAGTGGATAAGTGGATCTGTTTATATAGTTTTGATTTTTTTTCGCTAAACCTCTGACTGTAAAAGAATGGAATTTCAGGAAGAAATCCTTTAAGATCTTTAGCTAAATATTGACCTTTCATGGGGGGGATGAAATGCACTTTCATCCACAGTTTGTTAATATTCCAGTTAAACTCTTACTGATTTGGTCCCAAAATGTGAAAGGCATTTTGAGGACAATTTAATTTTCATTATAAGGGTAATTTGAGTTTGGAGGTAAGAAAGTACTCAGTTACTGTCTTTCACTGGTCATCTCAGACTCCTTCAGTCAAGCACTCAGAAAACGATGCAACAGCTTCAAATATTGTTACAACATGTGAAAGAACTTCCACCTGTGCAAGATGCATTTCAATTAAAATTTAACTGCATCTACAGCAGTCAAATCTTGAATGAAACTCCACTAAAGGAATTATGGTTGAATGGTTTTCAATGGGCTATATGTAACGTGCTCTGCCCTGTGTCCACAGAAGTTATGAATCTCTGTATTTTGAAAGAACTTATTAATGCGTTTCAATCTGATCCTTTGCTTATTTGTATCTGCACATAATAAAATGAAAAACAATTCATTATGAATTGTGTGCAGATACTGCTTTGACCACATGCAGATATACCTGCCAAAAAAAATTAGCCGTTATGTGACAATTTAATCTGTAATGCTCTTCATCCCAACAGTGATGCCATGTGTTCATATTTAGCAGTACTGTAGATTTAGTTCAGTGTCTCTTTCCTGAGAACTGTGCACTCAAAGATAATCCAATTGTATAGTTAACAAATTAATGTATTTTCCCCATTTTTTGGCTCCCTAAACTGCATATCTGCAGCCAGAGGAGTTGACATTGCTGCTAATCAAGCTGAGGCGGCAGCAAGCGGAAGTAAACGGCATCCGGGAGCACACAGCAACACAACTCATGCAGCTGAACCTCAGTGACGCAAATCCCAAGGTCAGCTGGAAAATAATCTGTTGTACTCTACCACCATTGTCTTATGGTCTGTTCATCCATTACTGATTTGTGTGCTGGTGCTCATCAACTGTTTTTTTTAAATTTGGAATATTCATGTACAGTAGTCCTTTAATGCAACTCCTGGGTAAGATTGTTGAATCTATTGTTGAATTTAATGGCAAAACTGTTACATCCTATATTGATTTCATCAGTCTTCATAAAAAATAGTCGGTTACTTTTGCAGAAATTATTTTCCTGTAATGTACCATTAAGTGATGATTTCCATGCATCTGTGGTTGTGTGCTGTTAACATTATTCTTTTTTGTAAAAAGAGGATTTGCTTGCTGGTACAAATATGTATTATGTTTTGGGTGGGAGATAAGAACCAAAATGCTGAACTTATCAATGTTATGTTTGAAACTGTGAGCACTTAAAGTGCTTGATTTGTGAATCTATCTTAGAGGGATACGTCTTGTTTATGTGACAGAACTATGTATTTTTAATTGCCCAGTTTGCCATTGCAAAACGTAGAAATCCTCTAGCATAGAGGGAAGCCATTTAGCCCATTGTGTTTTTGAAAGAACTGGTGATTGGTTCCAGTCTTCTTTTGCCCATAGCCATGCAAGTTTTTCCGATTTAAATTTCTCATGTTCAAGACTGATCAATGTACTTTTCAAACAAGTGCTTAAACTTGCCTTTGTCTTTGTATTTATAACTGAATTGGTGTTTCTTAACTTGACTGATACCTTTACTGATGCAACCTTGTGTCAGTGAATGTTTCATTAAAATTCCTGCATTTCTTTTTAAAATATTTATAGTCTACTGTTCTTTGTCCTTCTTTCTTATTTTAAATTCTTTGTTCTTCTTTATTGCTGCCTGTTAGAATGATATCCTTATTCATCACCTTCAAAGAAATCTCATGTATTTGGATTATCAGGTGGGAGTACTAGAAATTAATTGTTTTGTAATCTTGAGTTTCCCAGTGCATGAGTTACTTTGATGCGTCACCAAAAATTCCTCAACTAACTTGATAGCAAAAAAAGACACCTATTCCAAATGTGCAGAATTTTTAAACTATGTATCTGTTATTGTTTTCAGTCTTGCTTTTAAATATTTTGTTGCCTTGTTCCTCAGTATCCCGCTCCCCATAAAATGAAGCAAGTTAAGGCATTTTAGAACTTGATGATAACCTGCTCAACAGGAGTGATTTCTCAGTATTCATAGATGTGCATTCTTTAGAGACTCACTGAGAACTTTCTATGGAAGCTGATTGTTTATAATTATTGTTACTGCCTATTTGAGTTAAATACAGTTCAGCCTTGGAAAAGACATTGACAATAAAGGAAACTTGAGAAGTTGCTTAGCTGGCTGCTGATAATAACTGCCTAATTTTCTGGGAAATTTCCCAGGCCATTGGTGGTCGGTGTATGGGTGTTTAGGAAAAAAAAGGAGAAAAAGACTGCCAGATGAGTATCCTGACTTCTTCCTTTCCAGCGATGGGTGGAAATTGTGTCAGCAAGCAGCTAGCACCACAGGAAGGCAATCAAATAATTAAGGAGGCCATTGAGAGAAGTTCTGTGTTTTCATTGACTTTTCGCAAAGAACAAACAGGTCACGCACACTGTCTGTACTACAGCAGCATAGAAGAGGGCAGTGTACAGCAAAATACTGTTAGTAGGCTGTCAGCACTATAAAGTGACAAGTCTGGGATCAGCCGATGGCAGAGGCTTGCAGTGACAAGGCATGTCTTTGAGGCTAATATGATACTGATAGTGATCTTGGTGAAGACATTAGTGGCTGTTCCTGCAGGAAACTTTCAGTACTAAAGGGTGCAGACCTTCCCAATTTTTTCCTTTAGAAGTAGAGCCTCCAAGACACCACACCACTAAATATCTGTGTAAGTCACTGTGAAGGATGTCATTGGCATTTTAAGTCCTGCACACTTGTGTACAGTCCTGCCTGCTATTCTTAATTGAACAGTGATCTTGCAGGTGGTTTCAATGCCTTCCAGAAGTTCAACTAGTAATTCTGCTACTCGTGATCATTATCCTGACATTCATGCTAAAACTCAGGTTATTAGGTTCAGCCTAGAGTCTTGAATGAATTTGAGTTTGTTGCATTGATTATTTCAAATAACAGATAATATTAAGCAACATTATTTTGACAGTATACGTGAAATTGATCTTTAAATGTTAACTCTGCAACTTCTATTCAATGCAAAGACTTACTATGCAATATGTTGTAAAGATTGTATATACATGTTGGTGTATTACAGTCCTTCATATACTTGTAGTTTAAACTTCCAGGGGCTGCTTGTGAACAGATATTCTACAAAGAAGCTTTGGCTAACAGCAAAAACAAAATGTGTTACCTCATCATGGAGGAGGAAATGTTGTAAAATCTCTATTAGCAGGAAGGACTGAGGTACATCAGTGTGTATGCATCCATCTCTTTTTAGTATTAAGCATTTTGTGATGATTCTCTTCAAAAGAAATCTTGTGTTTTTAAACTTCTGGCTGTTGTGGGAGGTAAGAGATGATATTATTGAATCAGTTATAGCTCCATTAAAAACCTTGGATTTTTGAGTACTCTGACATAAAGAATACATTGGAAAACTAGCAAGCTCCATATTTTTATCAGTGATAAAGAATACGAAATAGAAAATGAGCAAGCTCCATATTTTACCTCTTACTGCAGGAAAAAGAAGTATTTTGCCTGAGTTTCAAGCATTTCACCACAGTATTATACATAAAATATTGTAATTTATTTTGAATAAAATTCAAACCTGTTGAGTTGATACAAATTTGCCAAAGATGAACCCAGTTGATCACATTCTAACAGTGTGTTGTCAACAGAATTTTATGATCAGACTTAGAAACTTCCCAATTTCTTTATATCTAGTGCCCCGAGAATTTTTTTTTTTTTCAGTTTGGTATATAATGCTTGCAAAAAGCTTTGGTACCTATTCCAAAACGCAGGAGCTATAATCACTGTTTCATCTTTTAAATCCAGCCATGCTGTAAACTGATGTTTACTGTATGCTCCTCCTGATTTGAAATAGATGAAAGAAAATGAACCTTTAATCGCCACGGTTCACACAATGATTGAGAACTCAGCACCAAGGCCACAAGTATACAAGCAAGTAAGGTCTTGGATATTGATTGCTTTGCTTAATCACAGAGCCCTATGTATGGCAGCTTTCAGTTGATCGCACTTAAATCATACCCTAGAGTTCTTATTCACTTCAGTGACATTCATCCATGCATTTGAACTATGCTGAGATAGTGTTTTAGCATGGCTTATTTTACCATCCAAAACATATGTTATGCTTTGCTGCAAACTCTGCTGAAGTTATACTCCCTTATGTTTTAGATCTGGTTTTGGAATTCTACAGTCAAGTCTGACAAGTCCCAGACTGAAATTAATTTCATATGGAACAGGAAATGTAGTATAACATGAGAAAAAGAATCAACTGATTTGTTACAGTAACAAATCAAATCAAAATGAATTTATGAAATGGTTTCATAATTTAGAGAAATATGGGTCAGTCTTAAACCCTGAGGTAACTGAAGTTCAACTAGAATTTATTGCTGAAGATTTCTAAATTGTTTCAAAATTTGAAAAAAATTAAATCACTTGTCAAACAAAAGCATAATTATTTTACAAAAATTTACTGAAGTATAAACATAGCGCTGTTGCTTATTCATACACTGACCTCCGCTCATTCATCCTAAATGTGTACCCACAAAGTAATCTGAAGTTGATTACAAATGTGATCCCTGACTTTGTTTTCAACATAGCTCAGTGTTTCTGCATGGCAGTTGTGACAGCATGCTTAAATGTATATAGTGTATGAAAGCAGAAGCAGCAGAAATGTTGTAGTTTGCAGTTTGTGTCTGTACTTTCTTCAACCTATATGTGTTCAAGTTCAGATACAAGGTACGTTTGGTGATGTTGTGGACAATATTCCATCTAGTGACAAATGGAAATTCTAAATTAATTAAACTTGCATGTAAACTATTAGACTGTTGCCTTAACTGTTTGTTGCCTTTTTCATATAAGTTAAACCTATAGTATTGCAGATTTGTAGCCAGAATGTATGACATGAATATTCTGATTTGCAGCTGCATTTTGAGGTAAGGTTGGTTTTACCCTAGAGAAGCAGGTATGTTAATTGCCCAACTGACACTGTGATGGTGGTGTAGATGTCTCAGCTTTTCTTAGTAAAATAAGATTTCAAAGTTGATCAGATAATATATATTCTTTGATATTAAGCTGACGTGATAGATAGTTAACTTGATGAATATATTCATAAACTGACTGATTTAAGGCAACAGTTATGTGAGCTGTGATCAGATAATTTGTGCAAGTATTCTGTGTTACTTAGGTAATTGTTCACATGGGGTAAAATTGACATGTGCCATTTACACAAAATACATCAAGCAAGTTGACTGGCCGTCCTGCAGCACCATAGCCCCATCCTTTCCCATTTTCTTCTCTACGTAATTCATGGAAAAACAAAAAGAAGGGTATAGCATAAGACATGGTACCAATGTGGTTTGTACTAATGGCACAGATTAGTTTTATCCCCACTTTGTATAGCCTGTTTTAATGGGGAATTTCAAAGATGACATTTGCTTCAATATGTCATTTCTACAATCTAAATTTCCAGATTACAACTGCCTCACAAAAAAAAAGTATTAATATATTTATTCAAATAATGCAGCTGGGGAAATCCAAACTTCTATTTCTTCTGTAAAATTGTCTACAATTTACAGTTGTGAAATATTTGTTACAAATATCCCCAATATGATATCAACTGAATTTAACTTTATTGTTCATTCATAGCTCTGGAATTTGCTAATAGCATTGAGCTTTGTTGCTGGTTGATGCGCAGTACAGATTTCGCTCTAGACTTAGGTTTAGTACATTATGAGGCTGAGATCTTTGCATTATCTGGTCTGCAGATCTGAAGAAGTAGTAAATCATTATGGATCATATTTCTGTTGAGTGATTTGCTTTAAATTTGACAACAGTGTTTGCAATATTGCTATATTAAGTTTAGCAATCACAAAGTATTGTCTCATCACTTGGATTCTGCTGATAAAAGGTAGATTATTGTGCATTTTAACGTATAGATACTTACCTCTGAAAATCTCATGCCTTGATGTGATTTTTTTGAAATAAAATCAACGCAATGTAAATATGCAGCAGGTCTAGCAGATTTTCTGGAGCGGAAAACAGTTGACATTTCAAGTCCAGTATGACTTCTCTTAAAAACGTTAACTTTGTTTCTTTGCTGAGTACTTCCAGAATTTTGTCTTAATTTTAGGTTTCAAGAATCCGCAGCATTTTGCTTTAATGATTTTAAACATTGGTCTACAATTGCTTTGTATGTAAGTTAGTAAGCCCATTCAAAATACAGGCAAAAGAATGTTACACAGTGCATTATGCATTGGCACTTTATTTTTCAAAGGATCTCATTTAAAAAGTTAATCCTTTATTTGATATAAGTACAATGTGTAAATGTTCTGTTGTAAGAACACATTCTATAACCTATAACCTCGGGATTTCTTTATTTCTGAAAAAGATTCTTTTCCATAGAGTGTTTATCTTTCTTATCAAGGATAACGTTCACTTTTCATATTTCAGGGCAAAGATAAATCATGAACTGTTTAACCCCAGGGCTAAGTTCACCAATCCCAGTGGAAGCCTTGTTTGAGCTGTGTATAGATTGAAGAATCAATGCTACATGTTGTTGCCCTATCTTCAACACAAGCTCCCATCAATTTTGACTAACTGCTGGGAGCACCACATTGCTGAACTTCACTTCAGTTAATCCATTGAGATTTTAACTCCATTGTTGTTTTTTTTATTCATGTTCTTGTAGCTGGCTCAACAAGATGATTACAGAGAAACTATATACAGCCACAGACGTGAAAATCTGGACATTGATGTATGTGAAAGTATTTTAGTGTTTTGCTACCACAATTTTGAGTTATCGTGTCTTAATTATTTTGTGGTGGGATGCAACAATAAGTTTTTGTAAGATATTCTAAGGCTATACTATAGGTTCTTAAATTTAAATTAATGCAATTTTTAAGTTGGATTTTGTCTGCTGATATATATCAGGAATACATTTACCTCCTTAATGGAAATCATGCAATACAAAATTGCTTATTGTTACCAAGAATGCTTTATTTCTCTTCATAGTTAATTAATATTCTCAGTCAATTAATTAATTACCAACAGCCTCCCAAATGTGAATCTTAGACTGTCGGTGAAATGGTCATAATTCACTAATTCTATCCAGTATTTTCTTTTTACTTCCCCTTTTCACCTAGAAAATTAAAAAGCTTGGCTGAGATCGCTTCCTTTAGATTTAGAACCATTTCATTGAAACCAGAATCTAAAATGACAGGATTGCCAAAACCTTAAAAATTTTCACCTGATTAGAGGGCTAGTGTGGGTTTATAAAGAGTAGGTCATGCCTGATGAATATGGTAGAGTTTTTTTTAAATCATTGACTGAAATGGTGGGTTGGAGAATGTTTATCATTGTTATATCTCAAGGAAAAGAACACAAAAGGTCAAAAATCTGGTTCAGTTATAGGTCAGGCTGCACCTGGTTACTGTGAGCAGCACACCTTAGGGAGTAAAGTGTGGATTTTCTGGAATGATAATTTAGTCCAAAGGGTTAAATGATAGGGAGGGGTTTAATAAGCTAGGGTTGTATTTCTTGAAATTTAAGAAGCTATGTTGGGTTTTCAGTTTGATTTATTGTTGTCACATGTACCAAGATACGGTGAGAAGTGTTGTTTTGCATGCTGTACAGGCAGATGGTAGAAAGTACATCAGGGTAGCAGAACAGAGTGCAGAATACAGTAAAAAATGAAAGAACTGTGGATGCTGCAAATCAGAAACAAAAACAGAAATTGCTGGAAAATCTCACCAGGTCTGGCAGCATCTGTAGAGAGAAAGCAGAGTTAATGTTTACGGTCCAGTTCTTTGAAGAGTGAGGAATGGCTCAATTGAAGTAAAATGGATATAACAATAACATATCATAATAATATAATAGATCCTGACTGGTCATGACAGGGGGATGAGGAAAGGATATTTCCTCTTGTGAATGAGTCCATCAACAGGGTATACTGGTTAAAAATTGGTGTCGACCCTTTTAGTACAGAGATTCAGAGACTTTCTTTTTGGAGGATTGTGCAACTTTGGAACTCTGCCTCAGAGATGGTGAAGGCATTGAATATTTTTTTAAGGGCAACGTCAATAGATTCTTGAACAAAAACAGAAATTGCTGGTGAAACTCAGCAGGTCTGGCAGCATCTGTAGGAAGAAAGCAGAGTTAATGTTTTGAGTCTGGTGACTCTTCATCAGAATCTCTTGACACTTCTATTCCTAACTCATATATTTGTGTGTTCAGATTGAGGGCTGGACTGCTTTAGAATGGGAAGCCTGATGCTAGATGGCTGCAACAACACTATAAAAAAGGAAGGGCTTTGAGGCTGGAGGGAAGAGGTTGATTGACCACTGAAGGGAAGATCGTGGTGTGTTTCTTTGGGGTGCTGGAGGGAAAGACTTTACTTCCTCCTATTCCACAACTGTGCAGGTGGAAAATAAACTTCACTGCTGAATCTGATAACAGTGGTCTTGGCCACAGTTTCCTGAGCCAGGACAAACCCAACATGGTGATTACATTTAAATAGGTGATCAAATCAGTGGTATGCAGTCTGCTAACCATACTTGCATTTCTGACCCACCTTCTGATGAAAGGTTATTCGTCCATGCCATTTTAAGCCAGAACTATGTCTGTTTGTCATTTTAGAATTTCACATTTTTAAAAATATAAGTCTTTGTGGGGAATGGAATTTTTTAAATCTTCCATTAGTTTGCAAATGCATTAGTTTTTCAAATTGCATTGTTCAATAAACCAAAAGAAATTGTGAACTAGGTTACTGATTTACCTTGTCTTTGTTTAAAATGTGAGATTACAGTGTTCTCCAGCAGGAAATGCTGGTTTGCTTTGACTGGAAATTTATTAGAAAGAAACATTTATGTTGACATTTTTCTTGATGCATCTCTTCAGCAATTGCTGAACGAAGAAATGTTTAAAGC